AAATATTCATATGTAGCCTCTTATGAAAAATGCCGAAATCCGGAGATTCGGAAAAACCAACTTTTATTTCGGTTTTTTGATCAAAACTCTGGAAAATAATGCTCAAATGTTGGATTGTCATACCTCGCTGAATTCGTTATAAAATTTCCAATCGAATGGCATTCACAGCTAAAAAATTTAAAATCGGCCGATTTTTGGCAAAATATTAAGTGTTACCCCTTATAAAAAATGTGAAAATCGGTCAAAAAATAAAATTTTCCAAATCCACCTAAAATTGAAAGCTTAGGTCCCCAGCTGCTCGGGACATTAATTCTTTTGGCTGTGCGTCTTATTTTGCCAAAAAAAATGGGAAAGTCGGTCAAAATATAAACCCAATTTGTGCCACTGTTAGCAGGCTGAAAAAGTCGCCCCCTTTTGCGTAATGAGTCTAGCCAAAGCTCTCCCTTAGCTGCGACCCTACTGCGCCCCAAGTTGCATGTCAAACGGCATGAACATGCTGCAAAAGGTCGCCCCAGCCCCGCAGTCCGCCCCCCTTCACCCACTCCACCCACTTTCACCACCTGGTCCTGGTCCGCTGGCCTTTTGGCATTTCGGCTGCCATTTTCCTGCGGAAATGTGCGCCAAAATGTTTGCGTGCCTCCGACGAGTATGAGAATGTAATATGCTGGAATATTTGAAATTTAAGAATAACAACGTGCCAAGAAGGGGCTTTTTTTGGGTGTAGCAGGGGACATGTGAAAGGGGGTGGGGGTGGGGGTGGGGCAGGGGGATGACTTGGCAAATGGCGCCGGCAAATGCGTTCATTGAACTGCCAGGGCGATGCAATAAAATCAACAAAAAACACATTTAAAAGGAAAATAAATATGTGTAGGATAACTGGCGACGAGGAAAAGTTACGACGAAGGGCAGTTGGGTGGGTGCGGAAAATGGGAAATGGAAAATGGGAGTGGGACAATCTAAGACAAACAGTGAGCGGATTTATGGGGTCGCTTCGGGTCGTGTAAAACGGAAGCGGAAAGACGCGAAACTGGCAACTGACACACAAATGCAGGGCAGAGGGGCTAAGACATTGCGGGGAACCACAAAAGGAAGCTGTCGAAGGACTGTCAACCCTCGCTGCTATTTCTGCTACACTTAAACCAAAACATATGCAGAATAAATGCAACTGACACAACAAAAACTTTAAAATATTTCATATCTAATTTTAAATTCCAGCTTTAAAAGAAATTCAACCACATTTTTAGCGTCTTAAAGCTTTTTTCTTTTAAACGTAGGTCATTTACATATACACAAAAAAGTTATTATTTTAATTAACATTGCTTTGATATAGTTCAGATAAAACTAATTTAAATACATACTTTATGCAAAATTTTAAAGCAATGAATAAGTTAGTTTCCACTCTGAAAAATGTTTTATTTAATAACTATTTATATCCTTTTATATTTTGTATAATGCAATTTTTTATTATATTCCTAAAAAACATACCCATTAACTGCTTTGTGAGCCTACTATTTTTAATCGCCTCCCAAAAATGTTTTTTCTGTTGCTGTATTCTACAATTTTTTTTCACAGTGCACTTATCCGCATGCCTTTTTGTCTTCTGATTTTTTTGTTTGGATTGGCAAACGGAAGCGAATTATGTTGCCTTATGCGACGAAAGGGTTCAAGACACAAGCTCCGTCCGAGGAGATACCAAGCTCCTGGGGTGCAGAGTGTCCTGGGGTGAAATTGATATGTATCAGATACTGCATCTCGTGGCTGGTTTAATGTGCAGAAAATTTCAGATTTTAATGATCCACTCGGGTATCGAATTTTTCAGCGCCCCTCCATTACTTACGCTTCGATGGGCGGGCAATCGCAAGGAAATCTGTAATTGCCACGGCCCATTGCATAAGCGGTACAACGCGGCGGATTATTAATATTTGCCAACTTGCCGCTGGAAATTCAATAGATAATCATGGTGGCAATTTATTGTGAATGGGGCCAAACATTTGTAGTGGACTGATTTCCTAATCTGCATTCACTTCCCGCCATAAAACAGATTTGCTGGTTGCGTATTTAATAAAAAAACACAAATCAAAACAGAAGTGACTTCTTCCCTTGTCCACCACGATAAGATTTATTTGGACACATTTGGAACTCTGATATAGAATAATGAAATTCCTTTTGCATTCGATCAGATATTTGCTATTCAACGATGATAAATCAAATTCTCTTTGGCAAACAAATAGAGTATACTTTATATTTAGCGGATGAACGCGGGAATTCCTTGGAAGAAATATCACTTATTTTTACGGCTAAACACGTCACTTTTAAGTTCCACATTTGAGGAGCATCCATAAATTTATTTGGTTAAATGCCACTTAATCTACGATTCAATGTTGTCACTCTCCCAGTTTGGAAGTGAAGTTAAAAGTGAGAGTGAACGATTTTCTTGTCAGCTGCCTGAAAATAAATACCCAGTGAATGGGAAAATCTCTTCATGTCAGATAGTAATCGACATTTGAACACGCGGTTAAGGTCAAAATAATGCCGAATCCAAAATTAAAATTATAGAATTTATAAATAAATACACGTGCATATAGCCATAAAAGAATTATTTTTAAACATAAGTATTTCACTCTAGTTTTGGTCCATAGTTGCCTTTTTTAGTTTTCCAGAAATGGGTGTGACTGCCTGAAAGCAAAACTGTGGCAAATGCCACGCCCCCTTGGCAAAAGGGCAATTTGTTGCGCTTCGTTGCGCGTGGAAATTATGATTTTTGCTTTTGTGAAAATCTCATTAGGCGCTGAAAAAGGATGCCGGTTTTTGTGGCCATAAATATAGGTTGCCTGCCAGCAAGTTGCCGATTTGCAACTCCGTTGAGTTTCAACGAAATTGAAAAGCTCACCCGCCATCCTCGGGGTTAAACGCGTTACGTGGCATTTTAATTAAGCGCAACGTTTTATGGACACTTCTTTAATGGCACCGCATAAATTCTAGATGGGAAGTCGGCAGCTTGGATCAAGGGTTTTCGGTCAGACTGCGTTTCACATCCAGGGCATAAAACGCACGGCAGGCAGTCGGAAAGTGAATTTTATGCCAATCATTAAACAAAGTTGTGAAACCGAACCGCTTTGTATCGGGGGAGTTATGTCGTTGATAACTTTATCCCCAACTTTGTAGCGAAGCGGAGCGGATCGCCGGAGCTCCTTTCCTTCTTATCGATTGCCTGATAATTGTTTGACACAGTGTGTGAGCTGCACTCGAGGGTGTCATTCAACCCAACTGCAACTGGTATTTGTATCTGGTATTTGTATCTGTATCTGTATCGGGTAAATAGGTTTTATGGTTCTCTAAAGCCCTGATCGTTATTACTGGATATGTGTAGAAGCATTGGGAATTGGTCAGTGCAATGAGTCACTAATAAAATACTTGATAGTATGAAAAATTTGTCACTTCTGACTATGACGCTAATGATCTCCTTTAATATTAAAATTGTAAATGGATTATAAAAGGAAGTGGCTGTTTTAAAGCTGTATTTGATTATTATTTGTAATTTGAGTCACTCTAATAGACGTCATTTGCGTATGACGTAGTGATGCTCTTTTTTGTAGGGGATTTTAAAAAAGGGGTTTTGATTTATTCGTCACCCTTCTCCATGTTACAAATGATATCCATTCAAATTAAATTTAAAAATAAATTATAAAAGGAAATAGCTGTTTTATTTGATTATTACTTTGCCATATTAGTCACTCAAATATACGTCATGAACATAAGAACATAGTGCTTCTCCATTTTATAATGTTTAAATGGATAATGAAAAGAAGTGGGTGTTGAATATTAGTCATCCTTATCCATGTTACAAAAGATCTCCATTTAAATTAAATTTGAAATTATGAAAGGAAACGTCTGTTTTAATTGATTATTATTTTTCAATATTAGTCATAGTGATGCTTCACTTTAAATGTTACATTTTTTAATTGTTCTGCACTTTTTGTATTTAGGGAATTATTCATATAGAAAATATTCATATAGAAAATATGTTGTGAATATCTTAAAACATTTGTAACTGATCACGGCTTAAAAATAATTTATTTCTTTTAGACGTAAATAAAAATGGCAAGATAGTTGACTTAAGTAAATGAACGTATCATAAACTGCCTGAAATATTTAATTTTTTGTTTTCTGTTCAGTAGGGAAAATACCTTGCTACTCAGTGAATCATTTTTCAGGAATTTCACACTTTTTCTTAAAAATATTTTTAGGTCTCTCTAGTGAATTTGATTATCTGTTAATATACGATTTAATTTATAATGAATGCGCAACCATGAACTGCTCGTGATCAGCGTTGATTTGGCTCGTTTGTACCTTAAACGATTTTGGAGCTCATTTACTCGTTGATTTTTTGCATATCTCATGAGCAGCACGAAATCCGAATTGGAAACGGAATGATTTATTTGCATATGCAACACCGAAATGCACTCACAAACTGAGCTTTTAAGTGGCCGGCCCTCGACTTTCCACTTTTTTTTTCGACTGCTCTTGACTTCACCCTTTTGGAGGTAAAAAAAAAACCCAAAAAGTCGCCGGGAACTGTCACCAAGTGCTCCACATTTGTGTTTAAAGCTTATTAAGAAATGCTTATTCCGCCCTCTGTCTCTTTCTCTCCGAGGGAGTCTCCATCTCGCTCTCTTTTTATCGAGTTTAATGGATTTTTAATGAGCCTGAAGCGGGGCTTTTGACGGCATTTTCGGAAAGTGCAGTTTCATTATCGCTTAATCCTGTTTGCGTTTCAGGAAGGAGGAAGATAAATACACAAACAAATAAATAAATAAATAAACACGCCCCCTAAAAAGGGGATTGTCAAGACGTCTGATCGATGGTACAAATGTTAATGAATTTGATTATTGTATTTCCTATTATGCATTTTACTAAACAACATTATTTATATTTATATAAATTTAATTTATTTTATATTTATAAATATATTAACAATAAAGATAAAGTAAAGTGGAAAGTTTAATTTATACTTCTATTAATATTTATTATAATATTCGACTGCTATATTATTAATATTTATTTATGCAGTCGATTCCTCACTACTTTCACTTGCTCCTCGGCTGGAATCTGGAGTAGACACGTTCAATTCAGTATAGTAGGATTTCACCACGATTAGGCAATAGCCAATACCAACTAAAAGTGAACATGCATTTTTGAGTGTTAGATATCAGAGACCAAATCTTACTAATTCGGACGATCGCCCAGCCATCCAACAACACGGTGACGAGAGTGAACAAAAATACTATATAGTTTATCAACAGCCAGGTGCCAATAAGCAGGAGATTTCTCTGGATTCAAATGGATACATTAGGCTATTATTTTTCAAGCATTAACAGATACTTTCGAACTTACGTAGATAACGCCATAGATCAGAAGTAAATGATCGATCATTAACACCCAGATGAGGGCAGAAAATCCGGCCACACATGTCCGGGTGTTCATGGTTCGAAAGAACTCAACCACATAATCTGGAAATTTGTTGGAGATAACCATATCCCAACCGATGCTGCCCAGGATGAAGTCTATCAATCCACTTATGGCGCCCACTATAATCACGCCGTATTTCAGGGGAATGCAACACAAAAATTTACGCACATGCATATTTGTTTCAAATCATTAAAACTGAAAGCTAAAGCCGGGAGATCTAGACTTAAATATTTGATATTTTATTTGGTGTAAGTCATTTTACAATGGTCTGATCTATAGGTTTTATTTACAATCTGTAGAGGATATATCCTCTTAACATCTGTTTAATTAATTAAACATTTTTAAGTGTGCCCTGGAAAACTCAAGTGACTTATAATCTTTTAAAAAGGTTTCTTCTAGTACTTTTAAAAACTTGGTATGTTGGCCTTCACTATATAAACAGAATAACAAAAAATGGTTGCAAATTCTCAAACAAATATTCCGTGGATTTAAGTTGGTCATTTCGAAAACATGATCCAAGATATATTATCTAGAGCCTTTGGATTAGCTTTTGAGTTTTCAAAGTTCCAAACTATTATATAATGTCCTAAACCAACTAACTTATACCCCAGTCTCTATAATTTAGACATCTGAAAAGGCGAGACCAAAGTCCATTCGACACTGAATCACCTTTCTGTGGAGGAGCTAACTGAAATTTCAGTTAGTGGTAGCCCGTAATCCTACACACTCGTCTCTAGTATTTGGCCAACGAACAGTTCCTAGAAATCTAGTTCTGTAGACAGCAATTAGATAGACCAAGACAATGCCAAACAAATCAAGTCAAATACAATAAACGCTGTGGCATTTTATCAGCTCCGAATCAGACGTAACATCAGTCCCCGGGTTCTCGAGTGTCGGGCCCTCAGATCCCCAAGTTTCGGTTTACAACGCAGAAAAGGGTTTGCTGCCTGAACATTCTTTGATCAATCAAGTGACGCGGAAGCGACACGAATATCTGATAACAGATAGCAGTTGGCAGTTGGCAGTTGGCATTCCATTCCCTCATTTAGTCATGGCTAAAATATTTGGCCAAAGTCTGGCTGTTACTTGCATAACAAGGGTGCAGAGTCAAGACCCCAAGTTAAGGTCGTTCGCCTGGATCGATCGATAAGGCAATTCGGCACTGCAAAATGTGCGATCGAGTGGGGGGATGTCGAGTGGCAGTACTTCACTTCGAAAGTTATCATTCAGGTATTTTAATTGAGCGCCCCTAATCACAGCCTAAAGTTCAGCCCTGCACTCACTAATTCTGCCCTACTGTAATAGTCCGGCAATAGTTACCAAATGTGACTGACCTAACTCACACTGATAGCAAACTTCGGTATAAAAAGGCACCCCTTTTTCGGAACCAAGGCACTAAAATAGACCGACGGTCAACTGGATTTGTGTAAAGCCAAACCGATCGCTTTTTAACACCCCTCCGGGGGAAATAAACTAAAATAGCATCAGTTGCCATATGTAAAATGTGGTCAAGCTTGGGTATTAATAACTTCCTTTCCTTTTCCCCAAAGTAAACCCCATTTTTATTGGAGGGATCATTTGGAAATACAAGGTCAAAGCGCACTTAAGTTTGGCGTGTGGCAAGGCGTCTACATTATCGTTTTATCGATATCGCCGAAAATGTTGCTTCAGTTGTTAATCCAAAATACAACAAGGTATTTGACAAGCGAACTAATTGATTTGATTCTCGTGCCGGTGCGTTGCGCCAACAAAATGCGATTGTTGCAAAATCACAATGAATAGTCGAAGTCATGGTACCCTGTGATAACTGAGGAGTGCTGTTTGGGAACTCAAAGATCAATCTCTTTAGAGTATTTCAAAAAATTAAGCACTTACAATATATTTTAAGTGCTTTTTATTTTCAAATAATTTAAAATGTGTTAAGCTAAAAGTAGGTTTTAATCTGCAAAACGGGCTTTCTCTAATAAAACAATATGTAATATCTTATGCAGTTGAAGATTCTCTTTCTTAATTTGAGCTACTTAAAACAATACAAATATCCAAAGCCATGGTGAAATATTTTGGGTGCATGGTAAATATTTGGAATTCCTTCGGTATAAATATTTACATTTTCGGCACCACTTAACCCCACATTACCTTTTCTAAGCCCTTTCCTTCTTCATTTTTAGAACTTAATCCCAGCGTAAGGCAATGTAAATTCCCTATTGCTAAGTTTTGTTTTTGTACAATGGAATGTTAAATATTTTCGTCACATAGAAACCAAAAGAAATAGCAGAAACATGGTAAAAATTAGCCCTTGGAAACGAAAAGTGCGTTCAGTTTTTGGTATGGAAAAACCAAGAGACTGTCTGAGTCACAAGTTCTATAAGCGCGTTCCACTCTGTTGTATCTGTTGATAGACAAATATAAAGCTTCGCAATGTGGAATATTCCGAGAGCCTTTTGGGTTCTTTAGCCGACAGTTGCCTCACTGATAAGACAAAATGCGTTTTGCAATAACGGAACAGCTTTATAAGACCCCAATGAATAGACCCATTTTCTGTTTGTCTTCAGCGAATGCGGAGGGTTCGCCTTGCCTTGCATGTTGCAGGAAATAAACAAAAACAGGCCGTAATTATGCAGCTCAAATACGTAGTCGTGTTTATAACAGTTTTCCATAGCCAAAACATCCAAATCATGGTAACTTGTATCGCCTGGATATGGCATATGGCAGAAATCATCGTCATAAACACTCGTCGGCTGTCTTTCATTCCGTGGTTCTGTTGTCAGCACAATCACAATCACAAAAAGGCCGCCTGGCGCTCAACTGCCCTCGGAACGCTCCAAATAAAGTTGGGGGGCGGGGATACACTGAGCGGAAGTTTGGCTTGCGATAAAAAAATGAAATAAAAGCCAGACAGAAAGGGAGAGTTCTCTGTGCATAACCCAGAAAGAAAGCTCTGATTCCTGCGGGGCTTTTGTGAGTTGGAAGACAGTAAAATAGCCGAAGTGGGGGATCTAGAAGTGGGTCGCTTGCAGTTGACATAAGCTATTGCAATGACAGGTGGGAGTGCTTCAGTGGGTTGTAAAGCAGCTGGGTTAAGTGATCGTGGGGGTCCAAATTAATAAAGCCATAAAAGCTGGAAATAGCACTCCAAAACTTATAAAAGTAACTTATAATAATCAAAAGTTGGCTTCCATTTAATGCATTTATTTCAGAATTTCACAAAATAAAGGTAAAAGTGTTAGGGGTTACTTCATCATTTAAAAAATTTTTAGATAATATAATAATAATAATAATTATAATAATCCAAAGTTGGTGTTTCATTCAATACATTTATTTCATACTTTCAACTTCTTTATTGGCTACCAATAATAATTTCCGAATATAAAGGTAGTGTTAAGTGTTATTCCATAATTTTAAACAATTTTAGATAATATAATAATAATAATAATTATAATAATCCAAAGTTGGTGTTCCATTCAATAAATTTATATCAGACTTTCAACTTCTTAATTGGCTACCAATAATAATTTCACAAAATAAAGGCAGTGTTAAGTGTTACTTCATCATTTTGAATTATATGAAGTATAAAATTATAAAAAACAAATACCACAATTTTGAAACAAATTCTTAAGAAGGCAATTAAAATGATAAAGGATTATAAATGTTTCAAAACAAAAGTCTATATGTACATTTATCACAAACAATTACCGATAACCCCTTTATTGAACAGAAGCCATATTATTTCCGTTTCGCGATAATTCCGCCTCATAAAAAACTCTCCCCAAACAAAGCTTCCGAACGGCTAAGGCGGCAAACAAAAAACACCTGAAAACCAATCGATTATCACATTTGATGGGCTGCCAAATAGCTGCTTATCTAAGTGCGCAAATAACGCCGAGCTCAACCCCCTGGAATTTCGCTCAGTGCACTGTCAGTCATTCAATGCCGCCTTTATCGACGCTGTGAGGGCGCCAAAGGCAGAGAAATGCGTGTCAGATAGGACAGTCCAAAAGGAGCCATTATTATCTGCCATTATAACAAATAACAATAATATGAAAAAATAATTGTGTCTTTCTGTTTGCTCTATATGTCAGCCCGTAGCGCCGGCCAGGTGAAAAAAAAGGTGCTCCACGAACTCCGGAGGGCCTGTATCTGTATCTGTGCTTAGCCTTCCCCATTTAGATACAGATACAGATACAGATACACCCGCCAGCACTGCGCCGATTGGGCTGTCAGTATCTTTATATTAATCAATAAGAGCAGGTGCGATAAGATTGCGGAGCTTCGTCTGCTGCTGCTGCTATCAGGTGTGGCAAAGTGGGTGGTGGGCGGTGTTTAGTGGGTGGGCAGGTGGCCGGGTGTATTGGGAGGAAAGTGGGTGCCTATCCTCAAACACACAATCTTTTTGGGCATTAAAATCGGAGAAACAAATAACTTGCAAATATCTTAGATATACTTTTAAGTATTTTTAATAAATTCCTAATTGCAAATTTATTTTAATCAATGATTTGGTCTTTAGATAAAAAGCCGATACAACTTGAAATAATTTAAATGTAAGTATTTATCCCTAAAACAAATGTATTAAGCTCTTTAGCCACAATATTTATAATAATAATAATAAGATAATGCTTTATACTGAAAGATAGTCATTAATTTTCATGTCGAATTTCTGCCAGTGGATTTGGAAAGTTAATTCCTGACTGACATTCGCAGCCATTATTAATTTAAATATTATATTGTTTCGGCATATAGAGGCTACTTCTTTGCCTGCCAACAAATATCGTGGCCCACTGTGCCCCATCAATTTCATGTGCGACAATAATATTTACATAAAAAAGCAAATATTCGCCAGACCAATTTGTTATTCAAAGTAATAACATGCGAATGCCCTGCAAAACATCTGCGTAGTAAAAAGGCTATCTTAAGTTGCCATTTATTTTAATTGGTCGTGAGACTAATTGCTCAAAAAACTCACAGCTTATATAAGGGGTTAAATCGAATGGTCCCTTAGTTGTCCTAGTCTTAGTTTGTTGTTTGTTTGTGCACCGATTAATATGATATTTTCTCGTATTTAAGACAAGAACTTCGATAAGAACTCGTAGCACATGTCTGGCCAAGTGCGACGGTATTAAATTTATATAAGTTGTGCGATTGGCAAATTACTGGCGGTATTTATAACATTTTAAAGATATGATAGCCAAGAATAGGCAAGCAGCGATTGTTTTTACACCCTCAGGGCAACAATAACGATTTCTGGACAATTAAGACCATAAGGGATGTTTATTAACCAGATATCAATTAGTAAACTTTCAGCCAAACGACATTGATATCAACATCCAATCCAATGGAACGTTTTATCCCAGGAAAAGTGCAATATTTACCCACACATTAGCAGAGTCAACAGCGGCAGATTGGAGGAATAAAAGGAGGAGTCCACTCTGAAAGCGGAAATCGCGGCATGAAAGTCGGAAAAGCATTTTACTGCAAAAGCCTTTTAAGGCTGAAGACCAAATCGATTCCACAATCGGATGTTTTTCGGGTAGCATAAATCAAAATAAGTGACAATGTCAAGGGGTCTTAACTCCGCCCGTTTTTCGAAGAAACCAAACTTAATTTACGACTCGTCTGCGGGATCATATCATGTTCATATCATATCAAATTATGTCCAGATAACTCATACCCCTTGTCCACTTTTCGTATCTCTGAGATGTCTGAGTATTCGTCTGGGTCAGCATTATGTTTCCACTTCTCCAGATTGGCAGTTCGAGGTTGGATTGTGGAAATTGTCTTCATTTTGTCATTTACAGCACACAAAACAATTCAAATATTATAAAGTTACAAACATGATTACTTAAACTAGTAGAATGGTTTCAGTGTGAGGGTCGGCAAGTTGTCATTATTGAATTATGAGTACTGCAAACTTGACCTTATAATAACCTCCAAACGTTGGGGACTCCCATTTTCATATGACAACTATCATTCACCTCCAAAGTTTGAGGCATTCTTGAGGTAGCCCGATTTATCAATGCCAGGCAGAATGATTGCGGGAAACACGTTTTATTCGCATTCTCCTATCGCAAAAGCACGTTTTTAAAACGCGACGCGAAACTTTCCGCTGATGACCAAAACAATGCTGATCAAGATAATCAGCCGAATCGATAGCCGATATCGAGACAAAAACAATAACAAGTTAGGAGGTTTGGATATTATGGTGGCCTTGGGGTGGCAGGTACCTTAGATGGATTTCCATAACGAGAAAGCCGACTAAACTCAACCCGCCGCAAAGTTCTTATCTAGCCAATGCAATTAGAGACCGACTTACATACACTTAGCTCTTGGTATTTATAGAGGCAATACCAAGAAGTATATGTTCTGGGGTGTACATATGTCATTCCGTACACCTTTCGTTCTCCGCTATCACCAGACACCAAAAACGGCCCTGCCTCCCCATCTATTGACAATTCAATTAACGTTTTGAAATAATTTCCTGATAAGCGTAGCTCTTTTGGGGCTACGCAACAAGAAAAAAAGGCAATTAAACAGCACCCAATAATACCCCAACAACGGTTTAACTTACTAATAAAACAAGAGAACCAAAACTGGGGAAGAACGGTGCTCGCGAGTTATCACTAATTGAACCACAAACGTGGCTTTCAAATCCAAATGTAACCTTTCAAAAATTAGCTTATAAAATTAGAAAATGGTACACATTAACCAGTTTTTGTTTGTATAAACTTGATGGATATATATATATAAAGAATAATATTATTGAAATTTCCACAGAGGAATGCGAAATAAGAAGTCAAGAACTTTGTGCCGGCAAGATGATGACGTCTGAAGAAACGAATAACAATGACTTAATAGAAATATAGTTGGCATTTATATTTATATTTTGTTTTAATTTCTACAAAATCTTGAGCTCTTTTTAAAACCCTAAATAGTTTGTTTCATATTACTTCAAAGATAAAGAGCACAGCGGAAATTGGGAAAATGTAATTCATTTGATAAAATATCTATAAAAATCTGTTAATGGAAACTTTTATATAAAAACAGGAAGTGGAATTCCCGAATTATCTTGTTTTCATTGATGAAGTTCGAAAGTTAAGACAAAAAGATTAAGTGTCTGGGGAAGACACAAAATACAGTATGATTAGATTATGGGGAGTAATAGGTATAACCCGATTTGTACATTTCGGGGATACCTAGTTTTTGAACATTTAATTTCAAGATGTGGCGTATATTAAAAATCTAATTTCACAACCGCTACTCAGGTTTTTAAGGTTCCCACCTGGATACCTTTGTCTAGTGCAAGTCACCTATCCGAATGACAATTGCCTTGCTGGCGCCAATCAAAATCGACGCTATCAAAAGCCCCATGTTAAGCCACCATAAAAAGTGCCGCTAATTTGGCCCTTGATTGCTCATTTATTTGCTCGACACACGTTCATTGCCATCATCGGCGATTCCCCCGTAAATATATATTAGCCCCCGGACACTTCGCTTGCATTAGATATATTAAATTCGAGCCATCCATCAGCTATAAAGATGGCTTGGATCCCTCGGCACATCGGAGTATATCGAGTGCACTGAGTCGGAAAAGTCAAGGTTCGAATTTATATTGGGCCATAAAAGTTTGATTTACGGAGAAATTTATATTAATAAACTTAAGAAGTTTAGTGTGCTTCTACTGAACTACTAAAGTTTTGTGAGTTTCAGTTATAATATCTGCCTAGAGTGAGTAGACAAGTTTTTATTGAAGCAAATAAAAACAAGAAATGTGAAAAGAAGGACGATTATATTAAAATAAATTTGGCATGACGCATTTTTAAGGACTATCCATTATCCAAAGCTTAACTTTATATATATTTTTCTTCTTATAAGTTTGGTAATTTTAATTTCATTAGCAAACTCATTTGTTAAAAAACTGTCTCCCATTTTTGGGCACTTCTTTTTTAGCCATCTTCACATCCGCCTTAATTGCAAGTGGAATTTTTCGCATATTAAATATTGCCAAAAATAATCACATCGGGTCATAATTTACATATTCGAATTTATGAAGAGGTTCAGGCAGTGGAGATTTACGGAATGCCTAGGGCATGATGGAAATACCTGAGCGGTACAATAAAAAATACTCGAAGCGTTGAACAATTCAATCAACTCAAAGTCCCAGCCTCGAGCCAACTCATGCCGAAATCATTTTGTTGTTCATTTAGAACAAATAAGCAAATACCGGCTGTAAATACATTCGGTGGTGGGTTCATGAAAAATCACGGCAAACGGAACTTGGCGAAGACGTCGCCCAGTTTTTGCTTCATGCCCGAGGAATGCCAGATATTCCAGTTATTTATTTCGGCACATTAACAACCAGCCAGACATGGGGACATCCGATGTCTCGGCCCCCGGGCCATACCTCAAATTGATTGCCAAATAAATTAAAAGTGTAAGGAAAACAACAACCACAAATAGCTGGAGAAAACGTGTAAGAAACGGGGAACAGTATAATTTAATTAGCGTTCGGTTGTTGGCATTTTTATAAGTATACACTCGACATTTCCATTGTCGTTAATATATTATTTTTTTTTTTTGGCAAATATTTGCCCGATCGCAGCTGATAACGACAGACAATCGATGTTGGGCTGTGATTCGCAGGGAAATTCCCTTTTGATAAAATAATTGGCATAGTTTCGCCTTTTCACGACACAAAAAAAAAATGGGCTTGGTTCGGCTTTGGCCAAGTTTGTTGCTCTCTCGCATGACGAGGTTGATGATATAACTTTATACAACATTTGATAGTATTATCGAATATTTGCACACGCGTCAATATTCGCCCTGAAGGGCACTTCACATCAATATTTGACTTCCCGCCGGCGGTGTAAATATCTAAATATGTTTATCAAAACTGTTGCATTGAATGGACGGGTGTGATGAACTGGCCAGAGAGTCAAGGATTCTAGGTGACTAAGCTGCGATTCTTTCAGCGACCTTTAACATTCTTAACTCGGAATTCTACTTACCATCAGGAGGTAAATAATCTTGGCATAGACCGTAAGCTGTGGTAACCTGAAATAAAATATAATTGTGCTTAGATGATGATATAATTTAATAGGTATGATAACTTAGTATATATGTATTGATATCTTAAGCCTTAAATCTCCTTCTTAAATCAAGAAACTTAAATTAAATTTTTGTGTAAAATAAAAACTTTGTGGCAAAGCTGTCAGACTTACTATTTTAACTTTTATTTTTAATTAGGGAATTTCCCAAGTCAAAATTTGGCGTGCTGTTTGTTTATAACATACGATTTATGAACTACTAAAACCTTATTCTACATTTGCCAAAAATTCCGCTGCTTAAAGTATAAAGATTTATTTACCTCTTAAACTTGAACTTGTCTTTCTACTGAGATTTCGAAATACAAATTTTGGTTGCCAGATAAATTATAAGATTTATATATTGTCAAAAGTTCTGCAGTTGAAGTTTAGGAATGCAAGTACATCTTAAGATTTATTTACAACATTTAAATTTAATTTATTTGTGTCAAATAATCAACTGTGTAAACTAAAGCCAAAGATTTATCTGCATCTTAAGCCCAAGGAAATATTTCTCCTGACTTCTTTGAATTAAATTTATATGTCCCCACAATGTTGTACGCAATCTTGGCTTATAATTGAAACCACAAACCGGAACACCCACAGCACATTCAATTATGACAAAACAATATTATGTAGAGCACTGCGAACACGTGAGCCTCCAGTTATATGTACTTATGCATAAATCATTTGGATTGAGCGACTTTTTGACACCCCAAATGAGCAAGGACAGTTGCAGGAGCCGAACCATAAATTCACATGAATTTATTATGCAATTAGTTAAAGACTTGCATTGTCAGATGGCAAACAAATGACCCAGCTGAAAGTGGACCAAAAACACAAATGAGACCTTTTGGTTGTAAGGAATTTTCGGCCCAAGAGAAAGACCTTGAGGATGATTTTCATTTGAATTGAATTTCGCTGGGAAATCCCTGTCGTTTTCCCAGACTTTTATCTGCTTGAACTTGGTTTTCCATTACTAACACAGCCTTGAAAAGTTGAAACTCGTTATCCCCACCCGTGACCCACTTGAGCATCTTGAATTCGCATTTTACATTTCCATTTAATAGAACTTTATATCCAAAATGAAAGTGGCCACCGGACGGCGATGTCTGCCCTTGGGCTTTCCATAGTAATTTGTGTCGTGGAGCCGATAGAATCCCGATGGCAAATACCCCGGAATGCTGTGGTTCTCCAGCTGAAAGTTGCGAACATCGTAGTAGGCCTGCAGGGGATAAACTTTGACCTCGGACCGTCCAAAAATAAATTGAGATACAGTACGCACTGGCTTAATGGGACAGCGATTGGCCAGATTCCCGTACTTGAACACGTTCCTCAGCCAGACCTTCATCAAACTGGATTGCAGAAGTTCCCGCAGCGTTTTGCAGGTGTCCATGTCGTAGCTGAAAAGTGTCTGGAACCGATTTTGGCCATCTATCAGCTGCAGGAGGGTAATTGTGGTCCTCAATCCATTCCTCAATGTCCCATTCAGTTGGATATCCAGGTTCAGCTCACCTTTCTCGGTTAACCATCCGCGAATGCTAGAGCAAAATTCATGGCTGCATTCCACACTTATATTGGTAAACTTGCTGCGAAGAGCTTTTGCATTGGTTGAAAATTTAATATTTGAATCAAAAACTATCTAAACTAGAAACTTACTGAAGGATTCACAAAAAAGTAGTATTAGCAAGAGCGCTAATAACATTTCCAAGTACTGGCTTAGAGTTATTTTGTATAACTAATTTATATTATGTTTATTTTGAGTCACATTCGAGTTATTAAGGTCACTCGTTAGTCAGGCTTGAATGAGTTTCTAATGAGCAATTTTCCAAAAAAAATTCTTTTGATAAAAACTGATACATTAGAAATAAATGTATAACAAATAAAATTATTTAGAAATATGATTAAGATATTATTAAATCAGAGGAATGAATAATATAAACATTATTATTCAGAAAAAAGTTTATTTATTAATCCAATGTTTCCCGAATTAACGAATTAAAATTAAAAACAATTTCCCATTCAACGTTTTTTAAAGGAAAATTCACAATTAATAAATATTTTTATATCCCTCATAAATTAAAGCACCGTTTAACGCCGATTAAGACTCCAGATCAGTGGAAAATCTATTGCAGACCCCCACGATGCCCCATAAATCAATCGGCAGTCAATCAATCAACCAATCAATCAGCGGGCTATCAATTAGTCAGTCTGTCAGTCCGTATCACACTTTGTCCAAATCGCAGAGCTCTGATCTGGATCTGGATCTGGATGTGATCTTGGGGCCTGGTGCCACAGGCCCGATCTGTCTGCCACATAAAGATTCAAGTTCAGTGCGACCAAGACACGGACTAACCGTAAAGCAAACTGAAAGTTGCGCTGACGTTTGGTTGTTTTGCGTTGTTTGGTTGTTTGGCCGCGTTGTTTGGCTAAGCGGCGTTTAATTGGAAACACAGTTGGGTGTTGGTTTTGACCGGTCCGCTGTCTTCATCGCGGGCCATCAACTTTCAGCAGCTGCGGACAGCTGATGGACGTGGACATTTGGATTCGTTCTCAGGCCGACTCCTGCGACTACCAGATAAACCCGTTCAAAAGTCGACCAGGCTCGCCGAATCAGATGCAAAATATTACGCATACGTCGTGTGGTCGTGTGGCGTATTTGGCCACGGGGAAATGTTTGCCTTTTTTTCTCACTCCCCCGTCTACACTGTACGAAAATGCAGTTGGCAGTAGTATCATGTGTTTTTATTTTTGAAGTTATAAAATTTGTTTTCTTTACAAAATTAGTCTTTACTTTAAGGATACCTTTTTATACCCTTGCAGAGGGTATTATAATTTTGGTCAAAAGTGTGCAACGCAGTGAAGGAGACATCTCCGACCCTATAAAGTATATATATTCTTGATCAGGATCACCTCCTGAGTTGATATAGCCATGTCCGTCTGTCCGTCTGTCCGTCTGTCCGTCTGTCCGTCCGTCCGTCTGTCCGTCTGTCCGTCTGTCTGTCCGTCTGTCTGTTTCTACGCAAACTAGTCTCTCAGTTTTAAAGCTATCGAGTTGAAACTTTGCACACAGCCTTCTTTCCTTTGCACGCAGTATATATGTCGGAACGGCCGGGATCGGCCTACTATATCCTATAGCTGCCATATAACTGATTGATCGGAAATGCCATAACTTTGGTGTTTGTAAAGTTAGGAAGTTGGAATTTTCTATGGATTTTATATTTGGCCAATCAATCCGACCTACCAAATTTCATAAGGATCGGCCGACTATATCTTATAGCTGCCATATAACTGATTGATCGGAAATGCCATAACTTTGGTGTTTGTAAAGTTAGGAAGTTGGGATTTTCTATCGGATTTATATTTGGCCAATCAATCCGACCTACCAAATTTCAGAAGGATCGGCCGACTATATCCTATAGCTGCCATATAACTGATTGATCGGAAATGCCATAACTTTGGTGTTTGTTAAGTTAGGAAGTTGGGATTTTCTATGGGTTTTATTTCTGGCCAATCAATCCGACCTACCAAAGTTCATAAGGATCGGCCGACTATATCTTATAGCTGCCATATAACTGAACGATTGGAAATGCTATAACTTTGGTGTTTTTAAAGTTAGGAAGTTGGGATTTTTTATGAGTATTAAGAATGCATCATATGAATATAATTTACAGAGTATTCTGCAAGGGTATATCAACTTCGGCTCCGCCCGAAGTTAGCTTTCCTTTCTTGTTTATGGATATGTTTATAAAATCAGAGATGTTTTTTGCTTTTGTTTTTAAAAGAAAATATATACTCATATGAAGAAAATATAGTACTTTAATTGAAGAAAGCTGTTCAATGGCAAATCCTTTTGAATCAAGGAAAGTTACTTTAAACTACGTATACTTGATCTTTGCAATTGACAACAATATTATCATTTAAGACTGCTATTGCTCGCTTTTTAAAACTTCTTTTGAACTCCATTTAATTTCTCTCTCTGCACCAGCTCTTCCCTTGCCCCGCCCCCTTGACTCCTCGCTTAATTGCTGAGCCGCGTTGAGCGTTTAATTGCAAATTATTCAAATGCCGACGCTGCCGCAGCTGTCATTGCTGTCATAACCAGTCGGCGCAGCTGTCCCCTCCGCCCCACTGTGCTGCCCCACTGTGCCACCCCTCCCCATTACCCCTCTCCGCCCCCCTCCATCCCACCACCCCACTCATCCTGGCGAGCTTGCAATTATGTCTCAAATTAACACAGCAGCCACCACAGAGCTCCCCACCAATCCCGCTTCTCCAGTACCGCGAAAAAAATAAAATAACACCAAGAAAATGTGTAAAAATATTCCCCAACTTTTGCGCTGCTGTTGTTGTCAGATGAAATTAGGCGTGAAATGTAGTTTGAACCTTTGTGGAAATATTTTTAACAACATTCACAAGTGCTCGCTCTTTTTTATATGTTTTTGCATATAACTGAAGCACGTGGTCTGTTATGTGCCACCATAATTGTTGCCAGGTCCACTCCGACTATATCAATATCAATATTTATATTTTTATTCCAGAGCTGATAAAAGCATTGGCCGATCGCCCTCAGCTATCTTTATATGTTTAGTACTGACCACAGTCGGAGAACATGCCATTATGAACTATAAGGCAAATGCAATTCCGATAATTTTTACGGCCTAGCACAGTGAGAAAATTGGGTACAGGAAATGGGCAAAAAGAAGGTTTCCGATAAGGTGATCAAAAACTCATTAGTATGTTTCTCACAAGAACAAAACTTATCAACTTATTTAATTTACATAACTTGTGAGTACACTTAAGATCCCTAAAATACTAATAAGTTTATATACTTATCCTTGGGCCAATTTGTTTATGCTCTTAGCTTTTGATACACAAAGTCTTACGAATGGTAAGTAAATTAATAAGTTAATTTTAATATGCAATTTCGATAAGCTTTACTTTCCAGCATAGTGACAACATTTTAGGTAC